GTGAATAATTGGATATTTATATGCTCGTTAATGTATGCTTGCATAGTTGTGGCTGAAAAAGTACACTCATATATTACAAATAAATGCATGTACAAATAAAAATTCAGTTTATTTTATGACGTTCAAGTAGACAAATAGAAAGTAATTAATGTTACTACAAATGCAGGAGTGTATGATGAGCTTATTCTGATTTGTGTTCAAATATATTGTTCATGTTACACACTGTCCTTATGGCCTTTCATGGGTCGCTGGCATCTGCGACATTGTCGTGGTTACTGTGTCCTTGATGTCAACGATGACGTGAATGCGCCACTGTCGTATGTTGTCCCTTCCAAATACTAAAGTGGTCTTCTTCATGGAGACGTTGTTTCTTTATTTGTTTTCTTGCTGCCTGTCTTTTCTGTGAACAGGCATAATTCGCACTATACCCCCCCCTCTTCATCAGTCTCCATCCTGACAAACTGAACATTGGACCGACAGTTGTAACTTGCGATACAGATTTGAATTAAAACTTGTCATCCCAGAATTAAAGTGAGCAGTTGCCATGCTGAAACCTAGTCAAACTTCATCATATCCATGATTTGATTTTTCGGTAGATATGACCATAGGCAGTGGTGAAAGGATTCATTGGCATTTTGTGTCAACCCATTCCTTGCACCACCGAGAAGCACTTCATCAGAAAGTCGGGTTATCACGGGCCAAACAGCAACGACTAATGTGTCTGGAAGTGGGTTCTTCAATGGCTTGTACGTCTTCTCCCCCCCAGAAATTGCATCTTGCTGCCATTTACACCAGCTGTTGGAGCCCTTTGGACAATAATCATGCCTAGGTTTCTCATGGGTGCTGGCATAATGTAAAATGGAAGCCTTAGTTTCCTGGCTGTTGCTTCAATATTACCTAAAACAAAAATAATACAAATTTAATCACGTGTAATATAATGAAGAAAACTAGTACAGTGAACCTTTTTGTACTAATTAGAATGCAAATTGTTGGGGTCAATTAGAAACTGTGTTATAGGTTGATCTACAGAGCAGATCATCTCCCCCTTGTCTTTCCTGTAGAAATAAAATATTTTCGGAGCAAAACTTTGAACCCCTATTCATAAATGATATGTGTCTGTCATAATAAACATCACAATATAATCTGTACTAAAATACAGCAGTAGAGTAGCAATTATTTTACTTTAACATCTAATAATATTTAAAAAAATACTGACCTTTATTATTATAATTGCAATGCCATAAAGTTTGAATATTATCAAAAACCTTCTTAGATACTCGACCCGTTTTCCATCCGTTAACTTTTGTCCTGTAGAAAAGAATATACAAAATAATACTTGTTTGAAAGCGGTCGACATTCAATATTTATTTTACTGTTAGTGCAGTGACAAGGCAAATTAATTCACAGCAAAAAAACTACATTCCCACCATGGTGGGAGTGTAATGAGGTTGAAGGTCCAGTCTTCAACCTGCTTCAACATTTGGTGAAGTAATTCTTCCACCTCGTACACACTCAAGTGGGTATAAGGGCCTTGTCCAAGATTAGCACCACCTGCGCCTATTGGGGACAAGGGAACTGAACATGCACATTAAGATAGCTCAACATATATATATATTATATATATACAATATTTATTGCATCTTTAGAAATACAGTATTTCTATCAGTACAGTAGCAATAAAAGTATAATTATAATGAAATAATAAAGAAAGAGAAAATATTATAATGTTAAGTATAAAAGTAAAATGTAATGTGTTAAATTTTTTACTAATACTAATAAGTTTAATAATAATAAAACTAAGACTCGTAATAATAAAATTCAAAGCTATCAACTATCTATTCTATATGTAATAACATGTAAGTAATTTCAAGTATACATGAATAATAACATAGGTGAGTGTTGTGAACTGAATTGTTTGATTTAACACTGTATCACCATGAGAAAAATCATTTGCTTCACACAGTATTCACACTAGGTGCAAATCTTGTACATTCCTACAACTGGTTGTTTGGGGTAGTTTTACCAGATTCAACACTGTACAACCATGGGGGGAAATCACTTGCTTCACACTAGGTGCAACGCATGTATAATACATATATACTTGTACATTCCTACAACTGGTTGTTTGGGGTAGTTTTACCAGATTCAACTCTGTGCCACCATAGGGAAATCATTTGCTTCACGTTGTTTATCTATAAGTCATAAATATGAAAACTAATGCACATAATTGCCAACAAAAAAGAATAAATGTATTAAAATATTTAAAACAAAATGCAAATGAAACCAGAACAACAAAAAGGAACCAGCAGCCTCTCAGCTGAGATAACTTGGCTGTTAGCAATGCACATTTCAGAATTAACCCACTTTTTACTAAAAATGACAAAAATATTTATTAAAATGAAACTGTAGTACCTATATCACTCGTGTTACAATGGAATTTGTTGCAGTGCAGTTTTCATCTCCATCTCGGTATCACTTTCCGCAGACTCTGGGACTACAGCCCAAACTGGAGCATTTTCTGGTTAGTCCCTTGCCGACTTTGCTCCTTTACGGCGAATATGTCTTTCAAAAATACCTTGCATCTAAGTTTGAAAATAGTTCAGTCACTTTTTTCGAACACCATGGTAGTTTGTGGACTGTAACAATCTTTTGTCCGTCGTCTTCGTCTTCTTCATTTTCTTCACCACCAGATGCGGTATTTTCACTGCTCATATAATCAACATGCATTACTTGTGAAAATGCATTTTTTTTCTTCATGGATGAGGACTGCTGAATCATTGTTTTTCTTTTATATAATTTCTGTATGTAAAAACAAATATAAAATGTCTGAATTCATTGAGATATGAACAAGAGATGAGTTTCCAAACTTACATGTACATTTAAAGTGAACAGTGAAGTTTTTGTGTGCTCTAAACCAAAACTGTCTGGTCTCTTCCCATCCATATATCTCGGAGGCAAATAACCAATCCAGGACAACTTCCAATAAATCCAAATGTGAGGCAGGCATGTGATTGGCTTTCATTTACACAGCAACCATCTCCTCTATCATCTGTTACCATTGCAACTGTGTTCATTAGCAATATTCAAAGCCACATTGCATGATGAATTCTACAGATAATTACCACAGCGCATGGGTGGTTACTATAAATAATAAATATACTTTTATTTTTCATACAGTCTTGAGTTTTGTTTCTTTGTACGTCTCTTTTTAGTTTTAATATAATTTCTAATTTCTAAAATACAAAAAAAAAAAAAAAATATTATTTTGTGAATGTAAAGAAGAAAACACAATTACTGTAAAATACTTTAATTTTACTTTCAATTAATGACGTTGCCTGCTGGTCCTTCTCGCCAAACTCCACACGATGGCCAATGTGCAAATAGTTCGTCCACCAAGGGTTACTGAAAAGTAACAAGAGCCGTTAACTTATCTGGATCGAGTTAGCTGTCCAGACACCACAAATAAATCGGCCTAAAATTTGGCACCATACCATTCCACATAGTTGTCAAGATAGCAACATCAATGGGCCCGTGTCCACTATGAAGAGTCCTCGAGAGCCAGCAATTGTCACAGGAACGAACATGCATCTGCACTTAGTCATCTGCCATAGCATCTCGCATTGCTCCAGTGATTTTCTTCTTCTCCTTCTTTCTCTTCTTCACTTTGTCGCAGCTCCTCTTCCTTCTGTGAATGTTAAGACATCTGTTTAGCTGAATTTACAGAAATTAATTTAATGGATTAGGCATTGTAACTGAGCTGTTATTCAAGCCCATTTTATATACATATAATCTGCATAGTAACTAACACACATTCAGTGTTAAATGATTACACAATTTTAACACTAGCAACGAAATGTTTCCTGGATGTTTCCATGTAATTAGTGCCAATATTATGTAGCAGACCAGGACGGGACAATTAATATAACGAACAGTAAATGAAAGAACAGATAGAAATAGACGCAATTGATAATAGAACGAATGTAATAAATTCAAATCTAGTTTATAAAGGTATGATGAGAATAAGTCTCATTTAAAAAATTGATTCTAATTTGTTCAAATTTGCGACAGTTTCATCCTCAGACCACTAAAAACAGACAAGCAAAGCAGCTTTTTCTTTGGTCAGATGCGTGCCACGTTTGTTTTTGGGCTTATCTTTTTAATCCAATAAACAACCAATCGAACTAACGCGACTATAAGGTAATAATGCGATATCCATTATTTCATCAAATCACGCGAGAGATGTACACAGAAAGTAGTATTAGTTGGGTCATAATTCATCCATTTTTCAGTGTTGTGTCTGCTTCACAGTGCTCCGGAAAATGGCTTCATCTGTGCAAGGGAGACATTCTTTTTCGAGTGAATTTGTTGATTGGAATGATGACGTTTATGACTGGGAAGCTTTTCTGGGAGACGATTTCTATGAAGAATCCGAAAAATCCGTCTTGAAAGGAAGTGCCGACGATTCAATACAAACTTGCCAGACGGCGTTGTTTCTGAAGTTAGTGCTGAACCTTCTAAATTGCCAAACAAAGTTAAATCACTGGTTGTTTTCACGTGTATGCAACAAAAAACTACGTTCGGCATCTGGCCAGTATAGCATCACATGCAATGATGCACTATGACAGCCGTACAGATATTTCACAAATTCGCCACTGCCATGCAAAGTGCCTGCACATCAGGTGATGAACAAAGAATACCAACAACACAAAGACAAGACATATGGACATACTTCTATGCTCTCAGAATTCCAGTGAGCGAAAGAATTTCCCCAGCAATTTCTTGTCGTTTTAATCAAATTTGGGGCATCAGATATAAAGAAGTCTTCTGTCATCAGCAAAATCATTATGTGGGGAATAGACAATATCTTGTGGAGTCGCTGGATCTCAATGCAATTTGAAGAATTTTCTGTTTGGATATGCACCGTCACATGTCACTGCAAGAACTTTCACTCCCGCCATCTCAAGTAGTTCTATTCCATCCCATATAATTGGCAACGAGAAATCAGATGTAATACCAGTAGTTGTGAAATGCAAACTTGAAGTTCGTAGCCAATCCACGTACCACGTACTTCATTGGTTGTGGTGCTGCTGCTGCTGCTGCTATGGTTACGAGACAAAAGTTCAAAAATTTATTACTGACATTGTTGGGATTAACGTAGCCCAAGTTCACCAGTGTGTTTATCAATACCAAATCTTCTTGAATCTTAATTTCATCTTGCAACAAGACAACATACTTTTGCCACTCTTCAATTTTCATTTCTTCAACACAGTAGAGTGGAATCCACTTTCGCCCTTTGTGGCATGAGAATAGTTGTATAATGTTCTTTCTGATGATAGTTTGATGAAACCCACGTCTCGCAGTGTTTTGTAAGCCATCGCCAGTTTGAGATGCAATGCAAGACACCATCTAATAATCATTGGGTACCATCTCATTTGTTTTGATGTCTTGCATGCATTGGCCTTCAGTTGTTCCTTCCAAAAGAACCACTTGAATAGGAGGCTATGACATCTGTAGTTTGTGTTGCATCATGGAATGAAGGTCTTCCCCTGTACTGTCGGGAAGTGTTTATTCATGTACCTGTTTGTTCTCTCTAATTGTTGAGCTTGCGACTTTGTGTGGTGCAGCCTTTCACAGAGTTCCTGCTTGCTCAAACTAATGCTGTCCTTATCTTTAAACTCTCTGCTTCTTGATCGCATACAACGTCTATCAACAACAGTGATTTTTATGTTGATATGTGAGGTAGATGAGAAAAAAAGGTTGATGACGATCCAGTTACACTTGTTTTCAGTTGCTGTAATCAAGCAAATCGCCGACATTACAGAAGACTATGAGGCTCAATCTCCAGCAGAACTGGACATGATTTTGATTTCTCAGATCTAATTGAAAGTAACATTGATAATGGTGAATGTGGCTGTAACATGATTTAAATTAAAGTGGATTTCTTAGTAACCTAAAATCATGAAACTTCCAACCTCCTGTAGTAATGCGGTTTTATGGGTATCCTCTAATTTTCAAGCTTTGGTGCAGGGCCCAGTGTCCTCCTTCAGTGTACAGGTGGCCATGGAGGGTAGCTTGGTAAAAGATTACTGTACGTATATTCATGCAGATAGTACTGCAATTGTAGTGAGTGATATTAGAGTTGATTTCCACTTTATTTATCTATCACAAACACACTTAATCACATTTTATCATTATTCAGAAAATTTAAATTGAATTAACATTGTCAAGTGTTGTTTTAGGCATGTTGACAGTGCTTTACTGCGTAATATTGGGACATGGCCCATTGGCAAACCTGCCACCTTCTCGTCAGTTATTATTTCTAGCATTCTTATCGTTTTTGTCGCCATATTCTTAAACCATATCCAGCTGTGGTGTGATTGGTGCCGGGACCGAGTAGACATGGTACCTTCAACAATTACAAAATCAATTCTGTCAGTCAATTCCGTCACACTGTAAAATATAGTTATATGTGTAGCTTAATAACTGGGATATGGCCACACTGGTTAGCAGTGGTTATGTTCCAGCTGGCTTCAATCAAGTATATTGGCTGTAGATTTTCAATAACTCTTAGACATCTTAAAGGTGTTATGATTGTGAAGATCCATTGATGAACAGGCATGTTAGTGTTAGTAAGCAATATTTATCATGTAAAATATCAGTCATGTACATATTACCAATCGACATCATCATATTGCAATTATTGAATAAGGATATGACATGTAAACACATGACCAATGTTTCAACCAAAGATGATAGTGTTATTATAAAATGAAAAGTAATTATGTTTTTTGAAATTGTGTGATCAGGCAAAAGAACTGGTTTAAACCAGGGGAAACTCCATGATCAGTTTCCATCAACAAAAAACAGGTTACATTTCACCTTATTTCCCGAGTGCAATGACAATAAGTCCACATTATATATACCTACCTATTTCACCAGGAGGTTAATGTGTGATGCCAATAATCAAATACAAAAAATGCATACATTAGTGACTAGACATACACATATTTTAATATTTAAATACACTCATGAAGATAAATTCTAAATTTGATTCCAGAGACTCTGTATCATGAGTGAGTGGAATGCACGACACATGCACCCACCCAGCACAGCCTCCTTCATCGTCTTGACACTGGACCCAAATTTGTTGTTATTCACTGTCCTTTCATGATTGAAGGCAAATAGTACACAATGCGTTATCATCCTCTTCTACCACTTTTCCATCTGATCTGCTCACGCTCCGCTGTCTTCACTTGCTTCATATCTTCCTTTACTTTCTGCAGCTTGTACTTTCATCTTTTTTTGGACTGTTTGTTCTTTTAAACGTAGTTGTTTTCTGGCTACATCTCTAAGAAATTGAAGGTGCTCTTGTTGAATTTTTTGGGCCGTTGGTCCATTTACAAAATTGGGATATTTAGATGTCTTTTTTATTGGTACATTCTATTTTCGGGCTCCAGTAAGGGAATATATAAGAGTGTTGATGCCTGTGACTGCTTTGGTGATGTTAGTGTTTTTGATGATGTTGATGGTTGTGGTGATGTTGATGGCTGTTCACGCTGTTTTAAGTAACACTTCTTCCAAATTCTAAATGAAGGACTTCCTGGCTAATTGTCACCATCTTCAATACGCTTCCTTTATTTTTATTTTTCTGGTGTGGTGAAACTTCTTTCAACCAATTACAATAAGGTCACTTGGCTGTGGTGTGTCGCTGTGTTGCAGTGTGGTAT